TCATTTCTGTTCATGTAGATATGTGAACATTTTTGTTTTTTAACATTTTTATAACAAGTCATTTGTCAACATTTTAACACGTGCATTAGGAAAATTTTATTACGTAAAAAATTTACCACCTTATCACACGCCCTCGGTTTGAATTAGTACGTTAAATGGAGGTTTAACTGTATTCTATTTCACGAATGAACGTACCAATGTAAATGGCCAGAACTGTGAACATCGAATGATCGGTGTCCACGGCTCTACCTGTTTATACTGCTTTTCTATACTTGTTTTTTTTTTTTTTTTTGTGGCTACGGTGTATTACTTTTACGTTTTATCTATATTTATGTGCTTGGTGTTATATAAATAAATTAGCTCAGCTGTCTTAGCTTTAGAGATGCAGCCTCGGCTTTCTTATCATTAACCCTGCAAACTGTTATTTGAAATACTAGTGCATGATCATTGACATATAAGTTTTTGTATTATATATTTAGTATGTTATTATTATTATTATTAGTTTAAAGGAATTTACCATTAAAGTTTGGATCTGATACAACTTCACAAGTTTCGAATGAGGAAAGCTTGTCGGCTTTTGTATTTGTTACTTCTTTCTGAGTGTTTTGTTCCGGTTCCGGGTTATTTTGCAACACATTTGGTTGCCTTGGATGTAGCAACATTTCTGCTACAGAAGAATATTCCGATTGGTGTGTTTGCACCCGAAATGCAGGAAATTCTTCGAGAGGTTCACTTTCGTCTGTTTCTGCTTGTGGCTGATGCCGAAATGTTTGCAAGCCGTAATCCATGACTCCAGATGGCAGTTCGTAAACACCATCTTCACTTGGAAGTCGATAAGCAAGCATTGTAGGGGCTTGCTGATGTGGAAAATGTTGAAAGTATAATCCGTATCCTTCTGGCAGGACATAATAAGGAATTAAACACAGAATTCATTAGTTATAAAAAATATCAAATACTGAACTTATTTTTAATTGCTAATGGAAGCAATCTAACATCACTTGTATATTTTATTTTCAATGAATTGAATTTTAATTTTTTGCTGTACAGAAGAATAAAAAAACTAATAATATAATAATTTGAAAATTTGCTCTATAACATTTCAAATATTATAATGCTTTATAAGCAGTTTGACTTTAAACAAAAAGAAGTTTTAATGACAAATTATTTTTCTTTGGGAACGTTTATATTTTGTTACACAAGTGTATATTTAGCGTTTGATTTAATTAATACAAATAAGAAGTTTTTAGTTTTAAATCTCGGTCATCAAAACACCAATTATTGAAATTCTTATAAATATTAACCAGTCACTCAGTAAAATAAGAGACAAGAAACACTGTAATCTTGATATTAAAGACATATATTAAAACACTACTTTTTACAAAATCATAAGTTTTAATTCATTTTAATCCATGAATTTTTTCTAGTAAAATTGACTTGCCATTTATCTTTCGCCTATAATTGATANTAAGTTTCTTCATTTTAAAAATTGTGAGATTATCATTTATAATTTGAAAATTTTCTACAGATGGTTTAGATAGATATCTACGATATTGATTTAATGTTGTAGCTGCTTTTAAGTTAATACGTTTTCTTACATTTTGACATGTTTTGCCAAAAAAACTATTATTCATTAGTTTAAAAAAATGATTTGTCAAAATCGTTAGTTGATTCTTGTCTTTTTTTATTATTAAAATATATATATTTTTTAAGCCATGCACTTTGACAAAATGCTAGTACTCTATGAATTTTAGTTATTATCAGACCCTATTCTAGATAAAATTTTAAATTTCTATAATAAATTACATAATTTGTTTTATCAAAAAGAGTGGGGATTAATTTTTTATTAGTATTAGTATATTTTGAATTTAATTTATTTAATACTGTTTTTTGATAATTAAATAATAAATCATACAAGATATTAGTATGTTCGGCAGCTAGCGGTAAATCATTATGTCTATCGTGAATATTTTCGGGATATTTTAAATCTACTTCTAAGATATATCCTACATTACTTTTGTCCGATATATTAGGTATGTCTAAAGCGTTTATTTCATCTTTGCATAACCATCTAAAATTATTTACAGGTAAATATGCACTCATTACAAAGCCATAAAGATTATTTGCATCTATGGACAGAATATAATTATGGGGTTGATTTTTATCATAAGTTTCTGGTATTAACGGATTATTTGCTTTTGCATATCTATTTTCCGCAAACTTATTCCACCTCTAATTCCATTTTCGATAAACAAGTACATATCAAGATCGTTAAATAATTCTAATTGAATTTTTCTTATTTTTAAACCACAGTTCTACGTTAAATCAGGTGTATATATGAAATATACAGGATCTAAATTATAGTACTTTAAACTTAATTTTTCAATAGTACCTTATAATAAGATAAGGTAAACTTACTAATTGTATTCATATTAAAAAAATTATTTTGCATCAAATGAAAGCACATCGAATAAACTCTGACAAAAAGCTTAACTTGCTTCGACAATGGCCAAAACTAGAAGCAGTTATTGTTAACGCAACAATACACGACATAAGTATTGTTGCGCAGAGCGTCACGCATGCGATAATCAGTTAATTGCTTATTTCAATATGAGAAACCTAATATAAATATATTGGAGGGTTAGTGCTGTTTTACAAGTACTATTTTTTTTATATCATACTGGTTTTGCTATTATTTGTTCGTCAAAAACTTTGCTACGAATCTCTATTTAATATTTTTCTTTGGCGTGTCGCTTCTTCATTATTTGTCATTATTTGTTAGTCTTTATTTATTATGGCTTTGTGTCCACGGGTGAGGATAAGTAAAAGTAAAATAATGATGTCAGTAAAGAATTTTTAAGCCATATTCCTTTGGCTTCTTGCGTATTTTGAATTTGGTTTTATATGAAGCGGCTGAATTATCTGTAAATCTATCTCTTAGAATCATAGGAAGATTATACACTTTCCCTGCTTGTTTTTAATTGTTAGAAAATTTAAACTGATGACGTAAAGTTTTTTTCAATTAAAGAATTTAGTGACAGATTGAGAAGTAATAGTTTTGAGTGTAGAGAATTTGTTAAATATATGATTGGACGCATTTTTTTCTAATTCTAGATTCTCACATTAATATATACTGCTGATGTCTTAATAATTCAGTATTAAATAGAACTTTTTTATATTTCTCATGGTTGAAGGTTTTAACGACAGATTTTAAAATTTCTTTAGCTGTTTTTTTATTTTGATTATCGAAAATATATGAGTACATTTTCGGTTTTAATGAACAAAATTATATTATAGGTTTAGCCAAGGTCTCATTTTTAAAATATACTAGCTTATGTTTATTTGTGTGTAATTAAGTAATTTGTGTGTGTTTGGATAGTTGCTGACATCAAAAATATCTGGAAATGGTTTAAAGTTGCCATATAAATTATTTTTATAAATTTGAAATGTTAGCGAGTCAGTATCTGTGTATAACAAATTCACATTCTCACTGTATTAATTTGAAAATATTTTATAAAATGTTTGATACACATGTAATTTATTTAATTCTAATACAGAAAAACCTACATAAATTGCAAACATAAGTTAATTTTTTTCATTCTAAAAATTTAAATTATCATTAATAATTTGGAAATTTTCGAGAGATGGTTGAGAAAAATATTTTCGATATTGATTTTTGGTCATGGCTGTTATTAAATTTAAACGTTTGCGGACATTCTGACAAGTTTTACGAAAGAAGCTGTTATACATTAGTTTGAAAAATGATTTATCAAAATCATTTGTCACTTCTTGCCTTTTTTTATTATTAAAAACTACATAATTTTTAAGCCAATCCTACTGGTTAAATGTAAGCACTCTGAATTTTAGTTAGTATTAACCTCTCTTCTAAATAAAATTATAAATTTCTATAATGAATCACATAATAATAAATTAATTACGACTTTTTTTCATTAAATTATTAAATTTTAAGTTTAATTTAGTTCAATTGATTTTTGATAATTTATAATAAATCATAGGTAATATTAATATGTTCAGTAGCTAATGGTAGATTATTATGTCTATCAGAACATTCGGTGGATATTTTAAATCAACCTCTAAAATATAACATATAGTATTCCTATCTGGAAAATTATGAATGTCTAAAGCATTTATCTCATCCTTGGATAACCACCTGAAATTATTTACAGATAAATAAGAACATTACAAGTCCATAGAGATTATTACATGTATCGAAACAATATAGTTATGACATTGATTTTTATCATAGGTTTTTGGGATTAGAGGGTGATTCGTTTTTGGAAAACACTTCCCGGTAAATCCCTCTTACAATAAATAAATACATATTAATATCTTTAAATAATTCCAGCTGAATTTTTGTCATTTTTAATTTACAATTCCAGATTAAGTTCGGAGTTATTATGAAATATACAGGATCTAAATTATAGTACTTTAAACTTAATTTTTCAAAATTTTGGAATATATCAGCCAATAATAGTGTCAACATATTGATATATTAAATAATGTTGAAAATTTTTACAACTAAATTTTTTCCAAAGTAATTTTGCATGCTTGTAACATCATCGCTAATATTTTTTTGTGATAATTTGTTATAGAAATATTCTTTTGGTGGTAAACATCTCTTGTATAAAGTATCTTTGTTTTTAAAATAAGAATAATGAAAAATTCCTTTATTTTTTAATAAATTTTTATTTTTGTTGTTATAGAAAAATCGATAAAAAATAGGAAAATTATAATTTGCATTTTTTAAATATTCTGTTAAAGTAGTTAGCGAGGAATTTAAAAATTGATAACTATCTATAAATTTAAATGATCTAGAGCAGGGGTCGCCAAACTTTTTTAACCGTCGACCCCCAACAACTTTCCAAAACCTCACATTGACCCCCACCGTAAAGTTTTATTACGAGTGCAAGTGTATGAGAAAAAAAACCACGAAAGAAAGAGAAACGATTTTACTACGTATTTCCTTTAATTGTACATACTTTCCATACTTTACATTTATTTGTAACTCACAATCAGTGAGACGGGTGAGCTTGATGTTCCTTCGCAAGATTAGCAATATTTGGGTCAAAATTTGTTAGCTTCAGTCTTAAATCGCCTCGAAGTTCCATATTTAACTTATTTCTCTGTTTGGTTAAGATGGAATTAACATGGCTAAAACCAGCTTCGACCATATATGAACTTGGAAATGCCAACAAAAGAGGATTTACAATATCACAAAGTTTGGTGTATTTTTTTGTTATGTTTACATTCGTCCAGAAATTGTTTAAAGTTAAATTTTTGAAAAGCGTTTTTGCTTCAAGGTCTTCTAATAATTCTATAAGTTCATCTTGCAGGTTGATGTCGACGTTTTCGATCTGAGCAGAAAATGGCGCCATAATCCATTCTGGAATATCGATATTTTCTAAATCTGCAAAACGCACTTTAAAATCATTGCTCAATTTTTGAAGATGATTTGTATATATTTCCAAGTCTTCTTCTGTTATTTGCAATTTTCTTAGATTTGGAAAGTACTGAAAATCTTTACGTAACAATGAAGATTTAAACAAGTTTAATTTAACTTGGAAGCCTAAAAGAATTGTCCGAGCTTGAATAATTGTGACATCTTTACCTTGAAGCCTTGATTGAACGTCATTGAATTTTACAAATAAGTCAGCTAAGTAAAAAATGTGGTTCTTATGTTTTTGTAGTTCATCACTTAGAACAGAATTTATTTCGGTAAGAAATTCTATCGTAGAATCAAATAACTCAACGAGCCTTTGTAAACATGCACCTCTAGACAACCATCTGACTTCGGTGTGTAAAAGTAACTGGTTTGTTAATTCGTCATTTTTCTCACAAAGTTTGGAAAACAATCTCGATTTAAGAGGATGGGCTCTAATTTGATTAATAGATTTAATACAAAACTGTAAAGCATTATGCAAATCTGGACTGAGATATTTTGCTACAAGGTGGTTTCTATGCAACACACAGTGAACAGTACGTATTCCAGGGACTTTTTCTTTAAGAAAAGTTGCAAAACCTCGGTAACGGCCTACCATAGCAGGTGCGCCATCTGTGGCTACTGCTGTTATATTGTTAATTGGAATGTCGTATTTATTCAAATATTCTTCTAAATTCCGATATATTGTCAGACCTTTTCCATCACATTCAAGATATTTAGCAAATAAAAATTCATCAATGATTTGACATTTACTTTTACTAAAATATCTGACGTAAGCCATAAGAAGAGAAGAAACACCAAAAACAGACTCATCAAGTTGAATAGAAAATTTGCAATTTTTGAGCTCTGAAACTACTATATTTTCGACGTTTTCGGCCATTTCGTCAATACGCCGTTTTACTGAATTCGCACTTAATGGTAAGCACTTTAAAACATCAACGGAGTCTTTTTTCATTACATTTTCAATGACATCTTTAATTGCAGGTACAACTATATCTTCTGCAGTTGTGTGTGGTTTTCCCTTTTTTGCTATATTGAGCGAAATCTTGTATGAAGCGATTAAGCCTCCTTCAATATCAATTATAGAAGAAGCAGACAGCTTCATAAAACTTTTTATATTTAGTCGTGTTGCAAATTTTCTTTTAAGTGTTTTAAAAAAATCAAGATCTTTATCCTTTTTATCAGAATGAACTCTCTCAAGATGGTCTTTCATTTTAGCTGGTTTCATCGCATCATTTATAAAAGTTTTCTCACAAAGAAGACACATAGGTATCNAAGGGGCAGCTAGTGAGCAGTGGTTGGGTCACTAGTGAAGCAATAGCAACCGAAACTTGGTTAGAAACTTGTAGTAGTTACTTTTATTCGCTTTACAGAATTTACGTGGAATACTAAAATTAAATGAACAGCGTCTAAAAACGACTATAGAGTTGCTAGTCAGCGTACTGAGAATACAAGCTTATGAATGCTACGAATGCATGACGTGCTATGTAAGTAAGAACCGGAGCACGGACTCGGCAATTTCGTCCGTCCTGTGCGACTTGATCCGTAGCCATTTTACATGTTGACAGGTAGCTGTACTATAAAATTCATTGAAACAATAATATGTATAGTTAAATTTCTGATTTTTAGTTTCAATTTTTCCATTTACCCCCAATCGACCCCTTAGCCGCATCGACCCCCTAGCCGCATCGACCCTCCAATAATGTTATATCGACCCCTGGGGGTCAATATAGACCACTTTGGCGATCCCTGATCTAGAGTGAATGTTGTAAAGTTTTCTGAATTTACAGGAATAATCTGAATTCTCAAAAATAGTTTAGGAGGAATATTTTTGAAAATCAGATGGCAGTCAAAACATGAAAATGTAGTATAATAGGAAAAAATTTTTTGAATGTATAATTTAAATTACAATGGTTATGAGCTGTCCCATGATAATTGCCTGTTAAGTGATCATGATCTCTTACTGTGATATCATCATACTTAAACCTTTCCTTACATATATGACACTGATGTTCATAATTATCGGGAATAATATATATATTTATTTTTACATAACTATTTATTTTATCTAATAAAATATTCAATTGATTCTGGATATGAAATAAAAAATGTTTAACAGCATCTTTACCACAATAAAAATTAGAATGTAATAAAGTATCATCATATTCTATAACAATGGAATAGCATATAGGTTTATGAATTTGAATAATTTTAGTGAAAGTAGAATTTAGATACACTGCATTTACAGGAACTTCTAGAATTGATTCAAAGTCAGAATAAATTATGGCAGGATGATATAATTGCTTTTTATAATTAGTAAATTTTGCAATTGCCTTTTCTCCAGTTGGGGTAGAAACTTTTGATATTTATCATTAGAACATATTTTTGTGTGCTTGTTTAAAGCATGGCTGCTTTGAAAACCTATAAGACATTGTTTACAAAATTTTCATATTCCTGATTTTTCTGACAATAGTCTGTTAAAGTTATTAATTAGAAAATAATGGGATTTATATAATAACAAAATTTTTTTTTTTGAATTGCTATTATATATAAATAGGATAAATTATTTTTTTTGTATCCGAACACCTGAATTTTTAAACCATTATTTTTCTGAATAATAGGATATTTTTAGTATTTTCTGGAAATTTTAGAGTATTTGTATTTAAATATTTCAAAAATTTCCTATATAAATAAATTGAAATTTTGTTGTTAGTATTTGAATACAAACTAGCAATAATACAGTATAAAAAACGCTGATTATCACTACATTTAATATTCAACAAACAATGCTTATTAATTAAATATTTTGGTAGGATGATATTACCACATCTACTACTCTCAGCCTTATAAATTCCTAAATGAATATCTAAAAGTATAATTTCCTTAATTATCCACCCTGATCCATCTTTTATAAATTGATCGATGAAGTTTAAAATTGTATCAAAAGCATTTGCTAACCTTTTATCGTTCGTATAGTGGAATAAAATATGTTCTACTCGACTGGAAAAAAACACGTCCTGATACGTAATAGTTTCATTTTCTGAATACAGTGAAAACTGCTTAGGTGACCACCTGCATTCGACAGGCACCTGTCAAAATGGGCAAAAATTTCTGGCACGGAATAGTTTATCCATAGAGTCTTCGTATAAGTTACCTGTATTAAACGACCACTTGGGTGTGAGAATACGGACAAGGGTCCAGGCCCTCTAATTGTCAGATCTGTTAGACCTGCTCACCTTGTCACTGCCCCTCGATGTGGGTTCCTGTCCGTGGTGAGGGGACCTCCCAGAGATGGTTTAGAAACTCCTCTTTACCATCCCTGGGATCTGAATGCCCACCCACGTGTTTGCCGTGCGTGGTGTCTCGTATGCCAGAAAGGGGGATCCTGGTAGTTGAGGGGCAACATAACGTCCCCAACACACTGCTTTGGCCCCTGCTTCGGATAAACGGGAGGCTCAAATCAGGCTCCGTTTGAGTCAATCGGCTGGTCGTTGAGTCATTCTTGACCTCGGCTTGGAGTCAACCGATCGATGCAGACCGGGCGGACATGTCAGTCTAGATGTGCTCTTCTTGACTGCATTGTGAGGGTATAGCTCCTGGGAAACCCTGGTGTGACGGTCTATGGAAGTACTCCATGTGACGGCATCCCCTTGTTGGGCCCCATGGTGGGTGGGGTCACTAGGAGCTGAATTTTTTCTGTAATTATGGATTCAAAAAATTCAAAAAGTTCTTGTGCACCAACAACAAAAACAAACAAAAAAATCTCCACTAATCCAGCGTTCTTAGTAGTGCACGCAACCGGAGAAAAACCCTTGGCTAAAGCTTCTCCTTTCTTGATTCAAAAATTGTTTGAATCGACCATAGGACAGTTGAAAAAAATACAAAAATTAAGATCTGGAGATTTACTGGTGGAAACAGCTTCCCCACAACAATCGGCAAAACTTCTGGAAACAAAGACCCTAGGAGAAATGGAAGTCACTGTCACCCCACATGTGAGCCTAAACTCATCACGTGGGGTAATATCTGAGATCGATCTGATATCTGAAGATGAATCAGATATTCAGATTGGCCTTTCAGACCAAGGTGTCACTGCTGTCCGACGCATTTCCATTCGTCGAGATGGCAAGTTGATTCCCACCAAACACCTTATTTTGACATTTAATAAACCGACTTTGCCATCTGTTATTACAGCAGGTTATCTGCGCTGCCCAGTTCGCCCATATGTTCCAAATCCGCTGCGTTGCTTTAAATGCCAGCGATTTGGACATTCACAAACATCGTGCCGAGGGAAAAGCATATGCGCACAGTGCGGAACTGAAGGTCACGAGAGTACTGAGTGTACCACTACTCCGTGCTGTGTGAATTGCAAAGATGCCCATCCTGCCTACTCTCGAAAATGCCTAGCATGGCAGAGAGAGAAAGAAATCCAGCGAGTAAAAACCATTAACAACATACCATACCCGGAGGCTCGGCGAATGGTCACTCAAAGCACAGTAGTGAAACAGAAAACATTTGCTTCTGTGTTGAAATCCACAATGTCATGTGGGGTTCAAACTGATATCTCTGTCTCCCCAAGCGAATCTCTTACTCGCCATGCGAAATGTTTAATACTCCCGTCTACACAAACACCAGAAAAGGAGATCACAAAAGGAAAAACACCCCTGCCTAAAACAGGGGTAATTACAAGAAACCTGGGTTCTAAAAAGGCTAATAAGAACCCACTAAACAAACAGAGAGTGAAAGCAGCTCTCTCTAAATCTAAAAAATCAGAGGCTCAGTCCATGAGTGAGTTCTCTGATATCTCTGATGAAGAGAATAATATGGAGGTAACCCAACCAACGTCACCTCCAAAAGGAAAATCATCAGTTAAACTGAAGAGGGACACTTTTTCTAAGAATGCTGCCTCAAACACATAATGGATTATAAAATAATCCAATGGAACTGTCGTGGTTTTCGCAACAACTTCTCTGACATTAAACACTTGACATCATCTACCTCATCTCTCTGCGTGGCACTCCAGGAGACTCATCTGAAACCTAGAGAGGGAATTACTTTAAAAGGATTTGATCTCTACCGCAAGGATGATGATAGCCACAACCGTGCAAGTGGTGGTGTGGCTATTCTGGTTTCCAACCGCACCCCATCCTTGCCGGTACAAATAACAACAGAGCTGCAAGCTGTGGCAGTCAGAATTTCTATTGGAGTAACTGTCACGGTTTGTTCTATATACTTGCCACCAGATGTCAGAGTCAACGAAGATGAATTGGATGCTTTGGTTGAACAGTTGCCTACTCCATTTGTTTTACTAGGTGATTTCAATGGTCACAATCCAATGTGGGGCAGTCCCGACATTAACCGTCGAGGCAGGACCATTGAAAGGTTCATAGGCAATCAGCAGTTATATTTATTTAATACAGGAGAAGTGACATACTTCCATGCCCCAACAAGAACATTCACTGCCATTGATCTATCATTAGCAAGTCCAAACCTGTTTTCAGCATTTACATGGGAGGTTGGATCTAATCCACTCTCTAGCGACCACTTCCCAATATTTCTAAAATATCGAGGCAGAGAAAGCTGTGAAACAGCCCGTCCACCACGCTGGAAACTGGAAACGGCAGATTGGCCTGCATTCTCCTCTATGGCTAACATCACTGAGGAAATGGCCAATACTGCTGATATCAATGATGCAGTTGAAGTTGTCACTTCTACTATTATTCAGGCAGCGGAAAAAACAATGGGGAAAACATCAACTAGATATCCAAAGCATCCGAAACCATGGTGGAATCCGAATTGCGAGGCAGCATTTAAAGCACAAAAGAAAGCATGGGGAATTTTTAGAAGATACCCCACTGCTAGAAATTTGATAGCTTTTAAAAAAGCGAAGGCAAATGCCAGAAGAATAAGAAGGCAAAGCCAAAGGGATTCTTGGAGGAAGTATGTTTCTAGCATAACATCTTCCACTAGCTCAAAAGCAGTCTGGGATAAAATTCATAAAATCAATGGGAAATATGCTTCTCACTCTCTGTCCATGCTGGAAAATAATGGCACAATAATCAGCAATATACAGGGTATTGCTGATACGTTGGGTGAAACGTTTTCTACTTCATCTAGCAATATTATGTATTCAAGAAATTTTCAGGCTTATAAAGCCCAAAGAGAAAAACAGTGTTTAAACTTTCATTCCTTATCTAATGAGGAATATAATGTGCCATTCACTAGAATTGAATTACAAACAGCGCTCTCTCGCTCGAGGAATAGTGCTGT